GGTATCCCTCCTCCAAAAACAAGGATTAGAGAATCCTAAAGAAATTCTGAGCAGGACCTTCCAGTGTTAAGTAAAGGGATCAGCTGATCTCCCATTGGTTAATGCAAAAATAGGGCACAGAACACAATATGGAACACACTCACATACTTAAGAATTTTTAAGTACCTAAATGGTTTAGTGACTAAAAGGTACTTAWAAAAGTTTCATCTATCGTAATATCTAAAAAGCATAATTCTATAGAATCTATATTTTAATTTTTAAATGCTCAATCACTAATTAAACTTTTGCATTTCACTTAATCTAAACATAATATTACATTAATGAGAGTTTAGTTTGTCACATGCAAATAAAAAGTAGGAGTATAAACTGAAAATGAAAGCACAGAAAGCAAAATTTAACAGAAGATTTCTTAACCARAAATAAATAACACAATATAGAACAAACAACAACAAAAAGACATTGATATGGAACCRTTCAGACTTAATAAAGACAAAAAAAACCTGCTACTCTTCAAATGATCCTGATAAGAGAATAAAAGGCAGGCACCTGCCAGTGATTCCAGTTATTGGGCAACCACAGGTAGGCAGATTAACATTGAAAATGTTRATTTCTCTGTTACTTCTTTCAAACTGGCAACAATCTTATGAAACCCAATAGTGAGGTTCACATCTATAAGCTACATAAATAGTAAATAATATTCAAAAATGTGTTGTAGTATATGATTGTAGGATAGTGTTCATAATATATAAGTAAGGATACTTTAAATTAGCCTGTCCAAAAGAAATCTCTGCACTGATGGAAATCTTTCATATTTGTGCTGTCCAATATCGTAACCTCTAGCCCATGTGGCTATTGAGCACTTGAAGATAGCTAGAATGAATGAAGAAGRAAATTTTAATTTTATTTAAATTTAGTTAATTTAAATATAAATAGCCACATATGGCTAGTGTTTACCATAATGGGCAGGACAGCATTAGACCAATCCAAYGTCAGTGTGTGCTGTAACAGGTCCAGTTTTAAACAGCAAGAACCTTTATTTTTGTAATTACCACAAAAGAGCAGTCAACCTTCTAGACTCAAACCCAACAGGTTACTCTTAGCAGAAGTTTAGGATCACAATGGAAGACTGGGCTTGATGGTGACAGACTTGGAGGTGTCCCTTCCCTATGCTCTATCTCAAGTTGTAAAACATACAGTTAAATAATAGAATAAAATTCATTCTCAACCACAGCACAGTTCATCTGTATTCTCTCTTCTCACACTCCTAATGCCTGACTTTGGTCTTTGAACCATGGACTAACTATCTGGAAAATGGCCATTTCTCATAGAGGAGGACAGAAAATTTCTCTGAGCAAGCCAATATTTTGCCATAGCCCATCAGATCTCTCCTCATAATAAGAATCTCATGTAATTTCTATAMTTTCTCCCCCTGCTCTATCCTAGTTTYCAGGAACCAAGGAATTTGTGATTGMCTGATCTCCTGAGCATCAGGCTCTCCTCACTCTGGCCTGCCTTTTTGCTTGCACTTGCCATGGCTTCACCCAGATTGCTCGCCTAACCTTACTTTCTCTAACTGTCCTAGTCCTTGCTGCCGGACCCACATCTTTGGTTTGCCATTACCCAACATGGCATGTAGACATGGACCCTTTTCTGTGGTGAGGCTATATGAGCAGAAGTTATGCCACCAAAAGAGTAGAATTTAGGTTGCTAGACTGTGTCACACACTGGAAAGAATTGGGTCCTGAGACGGATTTCAGTTTCAATCTCACTTATACTAGCTGTTTAAATATGGGTTATTTAGTAACTTTTAATATGTCTCCTAATGTAAAGTGCAACCAATTATCTCTCAAGATTATGCCAGTCAACAAAACAGCATTTTAAAAGTTGTATACAATAGTGACTTTATATAAGATGTTACATGAAATAAATTTGAAAGGGAARAGAGAAGAGCTGGAGAGATCAGTTAGTAAATACTAAAATAGGGGCAATAAACCAGAGATGAGGTCATGAAGGCCTATGGGAAGATGGCAGCCATAGAAGAACAAGGTCAATACACAATTTGAAGGAAGTAGAGGCCTTAGTGATAGATTAGATAAAGGAGAGGAAGSAATCAAAGATAAATCCAAGGTAATGGGAAAGATGAAGTTATGAAGTATAAGATAAATCAAAATCAGGAAGCTGATGTTGAAGGGCAGGTTAGCAGCAAAACAGGATTTTAAAAAAAATTGAGACTTTAGATCCCATTAAGTGAAGGGTCATTTATTAATTTGTAGAAATCATAAAGTTAGTTCATGGCACAATTGAAGCTAAGGCTCTATTATCTTTATTTCCACATAAAAAATCATTTTTATTTTAGTCTGAAATGAAAATATAAGACATTCAAATAGTTTTTAAGGGCACTGATTTACAGGACAAGGATGGAATTATAGTTTTGGGAAACAATGGAACACAGGTAATAGTTGAAACTACTAGGTTACATGAGCTCACTGAATGATGAAGTATAAAGGGAAAAGGAAAAAGTGGTCAATAGTTTAACATGCTAAAGAGATGTCAGAGAACCAGAGTACATTCGGAGTTTTAGTCCCACATCTGACCTGTTCCATTCAGGAATGATAGCAATGAGGGTGATAYCGGCACTAATCCAGCTCTTGCCTTTTAACAGACTTCCCTAAATGATTTAATATAATGTTTATGATTCTAAACATAAATAGTTATCAATAGATGCCATTTTAAATAGACAAAGATTTGAAAGCTCAGAAAGTTCTGATCTAGATCACACGTAAGTAGTATTCAGGATTTAAATGCAGATACTTAAGTTTCAAACAGCTATGACCTTTTAGTCTAAGCTGGGATAATTTGAGWGTAAAAGAATAATAGAAGTAAACTGGAAATCCTGGGCAAAACCAGGTCCCATGGTCACTGTGGTTATTAGACATTAAGTCTGCCTTGAATGACCCAAAATGATAAATTCAGTTCCATTGAAGTTAGACTTTCATCATAGGTCTTTTTCTCCTTCCTTCAGAATTTTACTTCCTACTGCTTTCTTGTCTTAAACTCTACCTTATGTCTTTAGATTCTTCCTTTCATAAATGTGCCCCTCAAATATGCTTTGCTGTGTATTCTCGAGTACGTCTCCACAACCAGCACCTTTGTCTCTGTACCTTTTTCATTCTCATACTTTCATTCAGTGAACACTTTTCTCCTTTAGTTTTCACATCATGCCATCAGTTCATCTTTAAAAAAATAAAGAACTGATCACCTGATTAAAACAAAACCATCAATGGTTCTCTTTTAGTTCTACAATAATATTCACAACTTGTTAGCCCCTTCTCCCAGTGTCTGCTATGCAGCAAGATAAGCAGCTCATTCATGATACCCGAGGTCAGCCACCTTCCCCTGTCTAAGAGGGCAGGGACCATGGGTAGAATAGCACTCAGTATGCAATAAGGACTCAAAGACTGTTGATTATGGAAATGTTCAACAATTCAAAGGCTTCCTACTTTGTAATTCTATTCACACAGCAATAACAACAGCATCCCAGGTAAATAATAGTTGCATATGTATTTTCGACATTTATTGTTTTAATAAGTTGCAGATTTATTTATGGACAACAAAGAATACTTTTTTAAAAGAGTAACAATGTCATAATATTTGTCATGCCCAAACTGAAACATTCTTATACTACATCTTAAAGCCATAAGAATATCTTATCATCTAAAGAGATATCTAAACTTGGTGGTGGGTGAAATATAGGAGTTACTATCAAATCAAGAAATTCCACAAAAATATACTGTTGGGCATTGTTTCTTATTTATTTATTTATTTACCTTTGTTYATTTGGAGATCATATTTTTACATAAACAAATAGATCTGGAGGTTTTGACTAAAGAAATGTTTTAAAAGTGTTTCTTCTTTTGTTTATGTTGTCACTGTTTAAATCATACTGARATATACAGAGATGGCCCTTAGAAATGCTCTACCTTGTCCTCTTCCACTAGAGCCCAATATTTATGGTGAGAATGGTAAATGCGTTCTGCCTGCTTAAATAACAGTTTTATATTATTCTGTCCTGCAGAGTAATAAAGGCATATGTTAATTAGAAAACATTAGAAATCATGATAAAATTTGGCCTGTTGTAAGGCAATGGGGTAAAAAATTTAGACCCTTGTATTAGTTCTTAAAATAATTAAGAAAATTCACTTAGAAGTTTTTTGTTTTTTTTTCTTTTTAAAACCCAAAATATGGCATGACCCTAAATATAATAGTAATCAGACCAACCTATGTCAATATCAATATTCTTAAAACTTTGCAGGGCTGTGTAATGCCAAACATGAATTTTAGCAATAGAAGTTGTCATTATAACTATCAATGTTAAGAAATGATAAGGAGAGGGAAATATTACCTATCTGATTTGATAATTATACATCATACACATGTATGTATTAAGTTCATACTATGTCCCCAAATATGAAAATCATTGTTAATTTAAAAGAAAAGATATAATTATGTATCAATTACAAATAAAAAATATGTTCTAGGAAAGAAGAAGTTAGCATTACAGTCTCACCCCTTTCTACTGAGCTAAGAGGCCAATAGATGGCTTAGTCATTAAACCACAGACTGCAGGAGTCAGATTACCAGCTTGAATCCTGGCTCTGCAGCTAAGAAGTTATGAGACCTTGAACAAATTAGTCGACTCCTCTCAAACTGTAGTTTGCTGATCTTTCAAAAACATAAAATAATACTATATCTTACATGTCATTGTGAATTTTAAAAGTATCTATAAAAGCATAGATAGTGCAAACTACATAGCTCGCACTCAGTCAATACCAGCTGTTACTATACATAACAAAAAATTCTGGAGATTTGTCTAGCTTGATGTGAATTAGTTTCAAATGTATTTTATAATGTTGTACTTAAGCAACTATACAAAAAMACAACCTAATGGACAATAAGGAGCTTCTTATCAATCCAAAATCAATGACAAAACAATCACTAACCATTGAGCCAGTAGTGCTCTGAAATGTCAGTTCTGATGTAATGGTGGTCATGAGTGGGCCCCAGGGACCGTGTGAATGCAGTATCTTTGCCAAGGAAATCAGATGCTGTTCCAGAATAGAGGTACTCATCTGGGAGAAAGAAAAGCACACATAGGACTTTTCAGATACTGACCTTAGATACTATTGAAAACATACAAATTTCATAGCATGACACCAAAGACAATGCTTGCTTCACATCAGAATATATTGTTTCACAAATTTCACTTTCAGATTTTGAAAAATAAGCTTAGTTGAAGACACAAGTCAATTAGCTTTCGTCATTTAATGCTAGATACTCTAAAAAGACTAAATTCTTCCACATTAATAATTGCACATGCATTGGCTTCTCTTTGAACCAACTCTTTATTCCTTCTCCCCACAAATATTTCAGTAAAACATTATAGTTAGGAATTCTTCTTTGTAACAACACACAGAAAATATTAAAAAATTAAATGCCATAATGAGGAATGGATTGTGTAATTAGTATTTACTTAACCGAACAACCTCAAGGACCACAACTTTTCTTTGCCTAACCTCTGCTGAAAGGGAGCTTTCAGCACTGAAGTCATTCTTTGTAATTATAACATGCTGCATTCCTTGTAGCTAATCATGTCTCTAATAGTTCTGATAAACAGGAGTTCTTGAAAAGAGAAAGATGTTGCACTACAGCATACCAAATTTCTTTGTCCTATTATTTACATAAAGTGAATGTCCATGTTTTATCAGGCACAGAAGAGAGAAAGGGTAAGGAAAAGAGAGAGGGGAAAGGGGGTGGGGGAGGACAGAGAGGAGGAGAAAGGAAAGAATGTCAGGAAGGAGGAGGAAGAAAGGAAGTAAGTCCAGAGGAGGGTACAGAGAGGTGAGGGGGCTGAGAAAAAGAACGAAAGGGAGCAAGGAAAGAGAATCAGGGATTGAAAAGGAGAGATGAGGATGGGGGAGTGGAGAGGGGGTGCTGGGTCAGTGACAGGGCCCCCCCTACTGCTAGTGGCAGGGCTGGGAAGGGGCAGAGTGGGTGGCAGGACAAAGTGTTGCCCCTTTGAGAGCCAAGCCTTTGCCATTTCAAGAGCCTTTTACAGTCCACTACTGTGGGTTATATGTTAAAAAAAAAAAAAAAAAAGTAAAACTGTTCTACAGAGCATTTAAATTTTTAAATGCCTATGTATGAAAATAAAAACATTAGTTTATCATTGAAATTCAACTTTCCTCAGAAATGTAATCTAAATTTATCTAAATAAGCCCTTGGGAAAATTATGCTTAAATAATGACAGTAGGCAGCTTCTAAAGGAAACCAAATAATACACAAGTGAGAGAAATTCAGCTTTGTAAATGTGTTAAAGACACAGTAGTACTTCATCCTCTTAAGGTACTTCCTAAAGTATRTCAGGTTAAATGGAAATATTTTCTTGCAGAGCAAATTTTTTTTTAAAATCAGAAAAACATAACCYAGTGAAACCAATGATCTTGCTTTGAAGTGAAACTGTGCATGTTTCTGTGTGTTTTGAAAATTATGTGGCTAACATTTACTCGTCCTCAGAAAGTGAAATAGATAATTTGGGATTCTCATCTGTCAAGTGGGATTAATACCCTTTATAAAATACAATGGACCGTGGGCACTGGTGAGTCCTTTTATGATTCTGTGTATGACTTTAGATGCAATGAAGACAGTTTTAAAACTAGATATGCAGAACCAAATTTTAATTTGAAACCTACCATGTTTTCTGATAAAATAGTCAATTATATATTTCAAAGTAATGGTTTGCTTCCCTTCCTCTTATCAAACTTTTCACAATGTCTTTGTTGAGATCCCAAATCATCTATTTCACTTTCTGAGGAMGAGTAAATGTTAGCCACATAATTTTCAAAACACACAGAAACATGGCGCACTTTCACTTCAAAGCAAGATCATTGGTTTCACTAATGAAAATTAAAATGTCACGGTGCTTTAGTCTGACGGTTTATTCAAACATTTGATAGACAAGTTACATAAAAAGAGACCAAAGTCATGAACCAAACCAAGACAAAAGGTATTCTGGTAATGGTTGAAATTCTAGGATCCTGCTGACATTCTATAGAGCATACTTCAGACCACACAGTACTCCCTGCTTCCTTTGAATAAGATAACCATCTCATATTTAAGATGTATACAAAGTGAGAGAAGACTAAATGTGCAGCAAAAAAAGAAAAAAAAATTCCCATTTCCATTAATAGAACATTTTGGGAAAAATATGTTGTAACATTATATATCTGTATTTGATAGCTTGATTCATTTGGTTTATTGATTTACACACATGCAGAATTCTTAAATTTAACATCCCTACTGAGCCAAATGGGGACATTACTCAGTATAAAAAAATAGGCATATAAATATAATATTATAGAACAAGCATGTCATTTGCATTAAAAAATTCAACCAGAAATTCATTTTAAAAGCAGCTGTGTAGACATTAGGATTGCTGAAACC